TTTTTTAATTGCAAATATTTTTCAATATGCGATAATGTTGAGGCGAAATACAAACAAAAAGGAAAAGTAAAATAAAAGAAAGAAAAATGTAAGAAAAAGATAAGAACTTGTTAGAATGTGACTATAAGAGCGTAAAAAAATAAAGAGTTAAATTTCTATTCTCTATTCGTCATCATGAAATGAGGGCTTTTAAAAGCCATACGTCATCGTTGTATTATTTTTATGCTAAATAAAGTTGGTGACAAAGGATAGATGACACATACATTCACATACACACATACATATGGAAAAAAGAAAAGGACGCTGGATCGAATCGATTTGTCATCTTACACTGATAATTAAGTAAGACGAGGGAGGAAAAGCAAAAGCATCGATGATATTGAATGTATACGATGAGGAATGAGTTTTAAGCCTTCAAAACCTCCAATAAAGCCTAAAGTAAAAGCGAAGCATAAGCGTCGCTGTTAGATAAAGGGATAACGGTCTGCTATATTGGAGCATTGGAAACGGCGTAGATTGTGGGTTGAATCCCTATTTCCGTTTTCATGGCCTACCATTATTTCCTTTTCCTTGTATTTCTCGTATTCATATCAAAAATAGAAAAAGTGAAGAGTACCACTGATCAATGGGCTAATTATCATAATCAAAATGAATTGGAAGCCATCCTTATAAATATTAATAAACATTGTCCTAATTATACTACTATTTATTCAATTGGTGAAAGTGTCGAGGGACGTGATTTACTTGTTATTCAATTTTCAACAACACCTGGACAACATCAACTATGTATGTTATGCATTTATTATCGTATTCTTACTGTAAATATATATTCTTACTGTAAAGGTATAATTGAAAATCGTTCGAGTAAAATTTTTGATAAATTTCATTTCAAAATAAAATTTATCTTCTATTATATAGAATTTTTTGAAAACATTTCTTTTCTATTTCAGAAATTCTTTATACTTTTTCATTTAACTGTTCCATCTTTAATTGTATACAATTTGGTATTTCATTCCGAATATTTTGAAGTATTCTTTTTATCTGGAATTTTTTTTCAACACTCATTCATCAAACAAATATTTCCAATCTTAGATTATATTCCAAAATATTGCAAAATTTATTGAATTGATTGAAATTTTCAGTAAAACCGGAAATGAAATATATTGGAAATATGCATGGAAATGAACCTGTTGGACGAGAACTTTTATTACGGCTTGCATCTTATTTTTGCGATCAAATTTTGGCAAAAAATAAAGAAATCATTGAACTGATCAATTCGACATCAATTCATCTCTTACCATCAATGAATCCGGATGGATTTGAACGTGCACTGTCAACAGTAATAATAATTATTCAAATTAGTCGTTCTTTTTTTTTTCTCTGATGCATATACACTTTAATGAATTTCATCAATAGAAATGCACTAAAAATAAATGTGCATGGAACAAGTAAATTGGAACTTAGTTTTAATTGATGGGATATTGAAAAGAGTTGTTAAGATTGTAAGAATTGAAGGATTGGGTGAAGAGAAAAAATGAAAATTTTACGATAAAAAATTTTGATTTCAAAATTTTGGTCTTTCTAAATTACTTGAAGTAAATTATATTTGAAGTTTTAGATGGAAAATGTATAGTAATGGTCAAAATAGTAGGAGATAAATTTTAGCAAAAGTATATTTTAGGAAAGGAATGCTCGAGATTGGTTTGTCGGTAGATCCAATGCGAATGGTATTGATTTAAATCGAGATTTTCCAGATCTTGATGGTTTCTATTACTATTTGGAACGACATAATATACCTCGTTTTGATCATCTCCTAGAATTGTTCGGTGGTGAAGCAAAAGAAGTATACTTTTTCACTTTATAATTTTACAAAAAGTAATTTTAGTTATGAATTTTTAACTTTAAATTCTTCCAATTTTAAGTATCAACCAGAAGTTCGTGCTGTTGGCCAATGGATTCTTTCTTTACCATTTGTCTTATCAGCCAATATTCATGAAGGCGATTTAGTGGCTAATTATCCGTTTGATTCCGCTCGAATTCCAAACAACAACGAATATTCTATAAGTCCTGATGATCAAACATTCCGGTGAATGCATTTCAAATTTTTGCCAAAAATTAACAACATCATCATTTTATCTAATTCTTGATCTATACAAATTTAGAATATGCATTTTATAAATTTAAAAATGTTTAGCAATAATACAATAATTCTCCCATTTTCTTACTAAAATAATAAATGGTGTAGAAAATTTTGTATAAATTAAAATTTATCAAAAATTCAAAAGCATGTTTTAAATTTAATCAAATTTACAGATATCTTGCGGAGAGTTATGCAAATAAGCATGCTCATATGGCAAAAAATGATCATCCGCCCTGTGATGGAACTATTAATGATGCATTCACACAGCAAGGTTAAACAACATAAAACTTTATATATTCATTAAAAAAAATTTGTGGGAAATTTCTGAAAATTAATCAACTTAATAAATTAACCGGATTCCGAAAATGAATATGTAAACAATGCTTTTAGGTGGAATAACAAACGGTGCAAAATGGTATTCGGTTTCGGGTGGCATGCAAGATTTCAATTATTTAGCAACAAACGCATTTGAAATAACATTAGAATTATCATGTGAAAAATTCCCGGACAGCTCATCATTACCGCAACTTTGGGAGGATAATAAAGAAGCATTGATTGATTTCATTCGAAAGGTATGTTTACAAAAAATTTTTATCCTTGATTGTATTTGTAATTTCTTTAGCAGTTGTAATTTCAATAATGACGCTTTTAATATTTTTTTCAATTAACCATTTTGCTGAATCAATAACTGCAACTTTTTTTCTCTCATTTTCTTTTTCATAGAAATTGAGTTAGAATTGAAAAAAAAAATTATGAGAGTAAATCGTTTCTCATTCTTTTTTCACAATTTATAGAAAGCTGAAAATATATGCAACATTTTTGCATAATATTTGTAATTCTTTGTAATTCCTTTATTGATTTGTAATTTTGTAATTTCTCCATATTTGTAATTTGAATAATAACAAGTTTAATATTCTTTTCTTTTTTAATCAACTGTTGCTGAATAATTTATGTTTATGTTTGACTTGACAAAATTTAATATTATATACTTTTTATATATGATTTAATCTTAGAAATAGTAGAAAAAGATTGCTTCGTGAAGAACATTTAATATAAATTATTGTAGGTTCATATTGGAATCAAAGGTATTGTAATAGATCAAATTACCGGAGAACCAATATCAGAAGCTCTTATTTGGATCAAGAATAGTACCGAAATCACACCGATCAAACATCCTGTCACAACTTGTATGTGTTTCAAAAAAAAAAAGTGATAAACTTCAGCCTAATTTATCATACTGTATAGCTCTGACCAGAACATTTGTAATTTTTTATCAAAGTTCCTTTATTGATCTTAAATTTCAAAAGGAAATATTGAAATGCAGAATTTCAACAAATCTAACATGAATTTAATTGTTCTCGTGAGTAAGTTTGAATTGTATTGTTGTTGAGCCAAATGATCAACTATTTTATAGGGGATACTGGTGAATATTTTCGTTTACTTACGCCAGGACGTTACGAAATTTACGTAACAGCAGATGGCTATCAATCAACATTCAAACAAGTGAACGTTACAAATGATAGCCAAACATCAGCGAAGATTGTAAATTTTGCTCTAATAATGGAACAACCAAAGGTAAAAGAACTAAAATTTTAGTTAAGCAAACTTTTCCAAGTAGCAGCTTTTTATCAAAAACAAATTGATGTGAAGTAGAAATATAAGCAATAAGATCAATTTATAACAATAATCCCAATAATACAGGTAGTATACAAAGTACAAACTTTCAGTTTCTAAGCAGTGCAATAAATTAAAACAAACTGCTTCAGATTTTTTCCACAAATTTTCCCATAAAAATTTCGTTGCAATCCAATTGATTTGAATAGGTTCAAAACCTTTCCCAAAAATCTCAGGTTTACAAATAGAAATGTGACGAAAATATAACAATATCAAAAATGCAGTAAGTATTACTGTCATAAACCCTTCCAAAAAAAGTTGATATTTCAGGATTTCGATGTACCACAGGATGAAATTCTAAACGAGGTGAAATAGTAATAACATGAACTCTGATATATCAAAGTGAAAAATCAAACAATATTCAAAAAAAAAAACGAAAAAAGAAACAAATTATAACTATAAAAGTTGCGTTATTTGTCGCCTTCATGTTAAATCTGTATTTCGATTTTAATAGAAATCTCTCATTGATGATGTAATTTGAAAGATTGAAACACTTATCATCTCTCATAAATGTGGGCGGCAGTGTATATCTGTTCAAATATATCGCTTAAATAAAAAGTGGTATCTTGAGCGATGATCTTGCACTTTTCGAGAATTAATTAATTTTTCACCAGTTCAAAGTTAACAAAATATTACTCTCTATCTAGTGTAAGCAATAAGTTGATTTTAATCCAATACATCAAACTTGTCGAGTTTTCAGTCCATTATAATATTTCATATTTCTAGTTTAACCATTAAATGCTAACAGAAATCAATCTTCTACACGTAAAAGTATAATCCTAAATTTCAATATCCAATATTGCATGATCCACCATTTCTCGATACAAACAAGGAAATGTGGTATTAAATGTTAAAAATTTTAACAAAAATAACAACAAGTAACAATGATAAATATATTTAAATTTCGTAATGCATATAAGCAACTGCATCACGAACCCACTGTGGTATGCTCCCATCCGGAAATTGTTCCACTAAAAATTCTTTCAAAAATTCTTGCACTGTATTTGTGTCAATTGCAGTGCGCAATCGTTCCATGAGATCTATATGATGCTGCAGGTTATGCACTGAGATAATATGACATGCAACAGTTTCCTGCAAAAACTTTCCAATGTTAATGTCGACAACTCTCTTCCTCTCTCCATCTCTTTTTCCTCTATTCGATTTCTTTCCTTTGTTAGCAAAAGGATAAAAATTTGAAAAATTTGGATATATACAGCAAAATGTACCTGATTCAGTATGGAATGAATATAGGCTCGTGTATAACTTCGACAAGAATGGCATAAACAACTATCATCAATTGGTCGAAAATCATTTTCGAATTCATTTCGAGTAAGATGCAGCATACCTCCATGTCGCACAATCGCTGTGCCAAACCTTCAAGATCAATTCAATGCTTCACAAATTTTTAACTTCGAAATTAATTTCCTGAAAATTTGTCATTAAATATTTTGCAATAAGTACAATGAATTGAAAACCTTGCAGTCCGTGTTGGATAAACGCAATCAAACATATCGGCACCCAGCAATGAACAAATTACCAAATCAATCGGCCATCCAATACCCATCACATATCGTGGTAGATGCTCCGGTAAATTCTCACAACAATATGCAACAATTCTCCAAAATGAATTTTTATCTTCTCCTGTATATTAAAATAAAAACATTTCAGTCAATAAATTCGAAGTGAAAACTAATCATGAAATGTTGCAAATTTGAAAGCGTCTTAGATATCTTGATAGATGTTCATGTTGTTTAGAACGGTTAAATTAAAGCTGGAAATACTCCTTGATATATAGGATACCTAACATTAAACACCTAGTTTATCATCACTAATGGAATAACAAAAACCCCTTTTCGTTACTTTACAATGTGTAGCGCAAAGTAGTAAAAATTTGAAACGAAGTTTAGCATCCATTAGATTACATTATTCCTTACTAGATAGTAATGTTTAAAACGTATAGAAAGGTAGCATAAAATTTCATTAAAAGAAAAAAGTAGTAACTTACCACCGCTTAAGCCACCAATTGCAATACCTGTTTCCGCTTGCTGTACCATAGCTGTAGCGCATTTTTCACGAAGAGAAAAATCTAAGCCTCCCTGTATAATAGGAAACAAGGCTTGATCTTTCCTCGTATGAGCATCACGACAACGTTTCAACCATCTGAAAAGAACAAAATCTATGAATTAAAAACACCTTTAGATCAAAATTTCACCTATTTTTTTAAACTTTAGTAGATTTGTTTAATCAAAACCTTATCGATCGTTCCATTGCTTCCTCAACCATAGGTCCTTCATGAAGTACATGTACGACATGATCCAGTTGCATTACAATATCAGCTCCCAAATTTTCCTGTAATAAATTCAAAAGAAAGAAAAGAAGATAAAGTTGAGGAGGAAAACAACTTAAACATATTTAAATTAATTTTTCAAGTCATTTAGACACCCATTTCTTGAGTATTATTAAGAATGAAGTACGGAATAAGGAAATAAAATAAACATACAAATAAGTATACAAATGAATTTGGATAAAATGATTGAAATTTCTAAAATTTCCAAAATGTACACTAAATAAAAGTAACAATGAAAACAAAATTGAACATATTAACTTTTTACCTGTATGTGTATGCTTGTTTCAGGACTCAAAATCATCTTCTCACCGGTATGCGGATTTTCAAAATTGACCCCTTTCTCATCCACATTCATCAGATCATTCAATGAAACCATCTAAAAAAATAATCGTACAAATCACATAATACATCATATATTATATGAATCATATAATATCATGAAATTTCAAATCTTTTTATGAATTCAGAAATATGCCTGAAAGCCTCCAGAATCAGTCAGAATCGAATATGGCCAATTGATAAAGGAATGAAGACCACCGGCTTTGCGCACAATTTTATGACCAGGCCTATGACCCATATGATATGTATTACACAGCATTAAACGAAATCCCAATTTCGACAGCTGTTCCGGTAGCAAACCTTTCATAGTTCCTTGTGTACCAACTGGCATAAATACGGGAGTATCGACATCAGAATGTGATAAGCTTAAAATATATTCAAACATCACCATTGTCTCCGAATGGTTACTTTGAGAAATATCTTGTCAACAAATTTCTTCATCTTTCTCAAGAACTATTAACTCTACTATCAGTTGTCAAGAAGTATATTTCAGGATTTCAGATCATGATAAAAATACCACCATATTATGAGATATCTGAACATTAACAATTTCATCCTATCATCCCTTTCAGAAATTACCTGAGTCGTCCATGACGAGCTAATCGCACTTTTGACAGTATTCTGAAGTCGAAAGTCATTTATTTCAACAGACACAACAAGTGTGGTCTGAATGTTTCAGCTGGAAATTAATTTAACTAAAAAACAAAAAAAAAAAAGAGGAGCTTTACGGTACAGCTAAGCATCCGCCAGCACATCTTTTTCATACATTTCATTTCTTTGCCAACGATTTGTAAAACATCCAACAGTTAACCGATATTCCGAGAAAAATTGCAGAAGTTTAGTTCCTTGTCTTTCATAACCACATTTTAAATTACCAATAAGATAAAGAATTCGACAAGTTCATCACTATCATCCTAAAGTCTTCTCTTAGTTTTGTTATGCTAATCCAAAAAAAAAAAACTTCAATCACCCAACTTTATTCGACCAAATAAAAGAAATAAATATTGTAACAGTAACCATGATATGGTAAAACTAATTCTAATAATTCTACACCATTCCTAATCATAAGGTATAGTGAAATATCTTTGGATGACTAACAAAAATTTAAAAAAAAAAACGATAACTAACAATATGTAAACATTAAACTTGAAGAATAAAAAACAAACAAGGTGCTTTTAACATGAAGATGTATGTATATTTATCCAGAAAATGAATGAGAAAAAAAAAGTGCATTTGACACAGATGATGTTCACATCTTCAAAAAAAAAAAAAAACATACATTTTGTAACAGTTTAATGAATGAATGATTCCTATTCCAATACACTGCATACATACTTGTGCACACAAAAGAAATACGACTGGAAATACGTCAGTTCTGTAATTAATTGATATACCGATGCACAAAAGAAAAAAAAAATCAAACCGAAGCATTTAACGATCTAGTACAGAACACGATAAGCATTAGGAATTGCAAACTAAAACCACACTAAATTAAAAGATGAAGGAAAAGGACATACATATCCCTGTATTTTTTTTAATGCCATGTGACACAAAAAAGGAGTACTGCGAAATTTTACACAGAAATTATCAGAACTTTCTTTAAGAAATGCAATTTTAACTAGAGGTAAGTAAAATATCTCATCTCCAAATTGAAGCTTAAAATGTAGAAGAGAAAAAAATCACAAATATGTGTCAGCAAGCCAACCATGTTAAACTGAACAGAAGAGGTAAGGAAAACATAACGTTACTTCCTAGAACTGGTAAGGAATAAAAGAAGATAAATATTGCTAACCCGAGTCAAATTAAACAAGAACTCACCAAAACAAATTTACCGTTCAACATCTTCTAATGGACTAATTCTAGAGTTCGAATAGACAAATTTTGCTTTAATGTAACAAAAGTGTATGACAATGGATAAATATGTGATAATAAAATCTTCATAGTCATATGATTATCTTCAGATGAACAAGAAGAAAAGAACTGAGAAGAATAAAAACCGATCAAAAACAGAACGATCAAAACCCGATGCGTTTCATCGACAAATGCATTTCAATAACATTCACGGATTCACAGCGGGCTCGAGCGCCGTATTCGGATCGCACACTTCTAGGATTGCGCGCCCCTCAACCTCTGACATACTCAGCTGTTTCAGCACCTGCAGAATGCATCAGTGTTTGATTAGTCGAAAAGAAAAAATTCAAGTTAGGAAATATTTTTTCCTTACTCTGCAATCAATGAATCCATAACAATGCTGCTAATCATGCCTGACAACAGATGTATCTCATAATTTTCTGCTATCAGAATATCTTCTAGAATTTCATATCATCGCCATTAATGATAAGAGAGTTAAGAGAGTTTCTTACCCTCATGAAATTACCGAATGACTTCTGAAACCTTCCAGATTTTAAAATAAAGTAGAAACACAAACCTGCGATGCCTGATTGACCGGATAAACTCTGTAATCCGGAGCATCTATTTGTCCTCCAGCAATCAAACAAACAAGATTTTTGAGCTGTTCGATGGAACCACGTGTAACTCCCATGATTGCAAGACGATTGCGGGCAACTAGTTTAATAGGAAGCTGTACATCGAGACCCGACAGTCCACCAACAAACAACACACCACCCTTAACATTTAAGTATTCTTATATATTGACCAGGAATTTTAATATAAAAATATGAGAAGGATAGCTAAGACTTGAAGGATTTAATTTTATTACAAGAGATTTCAAAAAGCTTACCTCAGCAAGGCATTTGAGCGAACGAGTAACAGTACGTGGCGAAGTGACAAAATCGAATACAACTTGAACACCCGTACGAGCAACATCTTTAGTTCTCATAATCAGATATTCTTCGAACTCTGGAACAAAAATATTCAACATCTGTAATTAATAGTAATCCTAGCTTTTTCATAAAAGTTGACATATCAGCTTGGAACTAAATATGTATTCTGTGACATTATTACTTTACCAGAAGTATTCTGTAATATAAAACTGAACCAACCAGAATCATCCCAATGCACGACGAAATCTGCGCCATTACGCTCAGCGAGGCAAAGACGTTCTTCACGAGCATCTGCTACCATAATCTAAATAATGCATAAAAATGAAAATTAGAATGAAACTATATCAAGACAAAATCAATACATGAATATCTTTTCAGTTTCACAAAATTATATCTTAACAGCACATTTGAATCGTAATGCGTCAAAGTGAAACACTAAATACTACTACACAAAACTGGCAAAAAATGAAAGTAGATTAACCTTAATCTTTCTTTCTTGATGTCCGGAAAGAAAATGCTTAGCCAATTTCAGTAACCAAAGTCCCAGACCACCAGCACCGACGATGAGGATGTTGCAGAAACCCTTTGATTGCGAAAATGCTTCAACAATTGGACGCGCCTGCAGGAAAAAGACAAAAACCAATTTTTTAAGAACAGTAACATGCAAACACCAAATATGAGTGAAGAAAAAAAAATGAAAAAATAAGGATGTAGACACGGGATATCAGATAATTATGCATTACAGTGGCAATAATTTTCGAAATCAATAGGACTTCCGAACTTAAAAAACTACTGCAAAATCTAAAAGTAAACATCTTTCTAATTTTATCTTTTCATTAAACGATCTCTCTAGTTTTATCATTTTATCTTTCATAAAAAAAGAAAAGACTGAAACCACTACGATCACTAACGCAAAAAAGACATACTAAAAATCTCCATTTCTATGAAACTATTCACCTCATCATCATTACCCCTATTACTATCGTAGTACTGTTCTAAATATTCATTTGCCTGAAACAAATCCGATATTATTAATGTTCTGTACAAGTGACCATGTAATCAACTTCTAAAACCACTTATTGATTAAGGATTCACTTTGGTGTTCAAACCAACTGCTAAGTTAGAGTTATAATACTATGACGTGCTGTAAGTACTCAAAGATGTTCCTTTTTTGGAAAAATGGAAGTTAAAAGATTATTTAAAAAATAACTTTACGGGTTAAAGCATTCAAATAAGATGAACCAAATTACTTGGATAACAGCAGAAAGCGCCCAGGTAGCACCGGCTGGAAGGATAGAAGCGACATGCATTGAGAGAGTGTCCGGAATCTTGATAAGAAACTGTAGCGTAGGTACTGTGACATAGTCAGCATAGCCATGCTGGCACATTTCATCCGTTGGCCAAACAATTACCTAGAAAATGATCAGCAATTAGGTTATGTTTCGTGACCTTCTGATATATAACATAAAATATAACCAAACAAGTCTGCGTCAAAAGAACTAGACAAACGACGATATAAAATTTTCTGGAATTCAAGTTGACGTGCTGAGCCGTCTTATATACTATAAAATGCATTCATCATAGACATACCTTATCTCCAATTTTCAAATCGAATTCCCCACACTTCGCATCATCTCCGAATGCTTCCACTACACCAGAAACTTCATAACCTGAAGAAAAAAACTACTGTATTGATTTGGAAGGTTATAAATAGCAAAATTTTGATGACCTGCAAAAGATAAATCGAAAGCAATTCAAAAAAGAAACATCAAATATCGCCCTAAATAACAAACAATAAAATTAACCTGGAAAAAGACTCGTATCTTTGATACCATTCGTAATTCTTGCCTGCTTCGTATTTGTAACTTCACGATCCGTAAGACATACTCCAGCGTAGCATACCTCAAAATCGTTGCATAATTCGTTTTTTGTTTCAAATTCTACAGTGCAAATTATTTATCAGTGGAACAACTTGCGTGTTATGCAAAACATCAAACACGGATGTCATAAACTGATTTATCCTGGATTTTTTTGAGCTATGTAATTATTTTTCGAGTCACTACCTACAAGCTAAAACTTAACAGCAATCGCTTTCACCACTTTTTTTTGCCTTACGCTAGTCAACTTAAATCTTTCTAAACATATGCATCATTTGTTTTTGCTCCAGGTTGTGTATCAACTTTGCATCGTTGAAGATATTTTTTTATTTTTACTCCTTTGTATTTTATCCTGAAATCTACTTAAACCAAAACATCATGTAAAATTTGAGGAGCGGATGAATAACAACCACAAAATTCATGGCTTAAAAACGATATGAATGACTCCACTGTTTACGTTACACTAAATACATTTATGCGACAACAGGATATTACGACCTGGAGCTAAATGCTATTATCCACTCTTTTAACTTTCACTCGACCTAACATCCTGACTTCTAAACCACAGAATACTTTTCTAATCTTTAAATTACAGACGCAAAAAAACGGTAGAATGGAGCAGGAATTAATAATTTTACCTTAACACGAGCACCTTTCTCTGGAACATCAGGAATTGTTTCTTCTTCGAAGAAATGTACTTCCTTCAAATCTTTGGGTGAACCCAGTGAAATTCGCCGATTTTTAATACCACCTGACATTGCTCAATGCTGGAAGCAAAATATCATGCTATTTTAACAAAATACGACGCTTGTACAATAAGTAACAACGAAGAACATATTTTTGCTGAATAAACAAACATACGTAAACACGTTGCTAATAATCTGACAACTACTGTTATCTAACCGATCCAGTTTTAATGGCATTCATCACAGTTCTCGTCACATGACATCCGAAATAACAATTTGTTAACTTAACATGTAAATACCTCTCTTTCCATGAGATTTATAATTTCTAAATACATCATGCTGACTGAACTCCATCCAAACACAAACACACACACACATGTTCAACCTGCTACAAAACTCAAACGATTTGCATTATTCACTCCATATCATGTCGAAGACAATTTCTTTTCAAAATTTGGAAAGAAAAAACCATTCGAAATTGATATTTACAGTGTAATAAAACTTTATCAATTCCAGAAACAATGGTATCGTCTAAAATCACTGCCTTAACACTCTATAAAAAAACAACCTATTCAACCAAAGAAT